CATGATGTCATTGGCAGCAAACGCCTGCACCTCACCTCTACGAGTGCCAGCGTCAAACCTGGCATATGTTTCCGATTTACACGCACTGTGCCACACACATCTGTCATGTTCACTCGCAAAAAATCACTGAGTGAGGGGCTTGTGTACTAGTTATCAGTATATAATATATGCCCCTTACCAAGGTATGGTTCTATCATTGTTCTAACCACATCACCAGAGATGCCCAATAACTTCCTGGTATTTTGCAATGTATAACTTCCAGTGTACACAATAATATCCAATACCAGACCACTGTAACAATCACAAAGCACAAACAACTTTATACCAAAGCATTTCCTCTTGCTTGGTATGTACTGCTTGAAAAAGTCTTCCTTTGAACAGAATCAAAGACTCGTCAATTACAAGCTTCCTGAAGGGATAAAAATACATATTGAATTTCTCTTTCAGATACACAAACACATGCCTAATCTTATAAAACCTGTCGTTTCTGTCAAGCCTGGTTTTGTCTGAGAAGTGAAGCATACGTAACATTAGCACAAATCGATTCACTGGCATTATATCACTGAAACCTGGGGTTGCAATCAGGCAGTCTGTTGACCAGTATGATTTCATTTTGTGCTTATACACATGTGGCATAAGCATTATTGTGGCAAAAAAAAAAAGATACATCTCAGCCACAGTTGCCTCCTTCCACTGGTGTAGACGTGATTTTGGTGAAAGTATTGTGTTTGCCATGGTGTACTCGCAGTATGTGTTGCTTTCCATGACAATACTTTCCATCAGGGGTTCGTCAAAGAATAACGTGAAACATTCCAGTTCAGTGGCATTGTTCCCAAGTGTGCAAGATGGCCGTATTCCACTTTAGCTATCATCAAACTGGTGGGCATTTGGAACAAAATTGACAGCTTCCTGCCAATCCCAGGTACAGTCTGCTGGTGGGTACTGGACAACGACAGGTGGTTGTGGAGGTTGTGGTTGTGGAGGTTGTGGTTGTGGAGGTTGTGGTTGTGGAGGTTGTGGTTGTGGAGGTTGTGGTTGTGGAGGTTGTGGTTGTGGAGGCGGGGTGTGGGGGGTGGGTGGGTGGGGGATGGTGGCCTTTGTTGTAGATCAGCTGAGGCAGCAGCATGGGTGGCAGCGTGGGTGGCAGCATGGCCCACTGCTGGTGCCTCACGGCCGTCATCACCACTACCACCACCATGCACATTTTCAATCCCAATTGCAACACTATCATTGTCATTTTCACTGTCTGTTCCTGTTGTACAGCCACGGGATGTACTCCAAGATGTACTCCTTCCCCTTGGAATAGCATATGGCACACTACCAGAGCGCATATATCGTCATATATACTGACGCTTCATTGGGGAATATTCCACTTCACTATCACTACTGGAACTGTTTTCAAGAGCTTGTAGTTCATAATCACTATCACTATCATCACAAATGCTCACATCTGAGTCTGGGATTTGGGAAAATAGGAGTTTCCTCTTGGATTCTGGTACAACTGAACGTGAACAAGACGGTCCAGCGCCAGAGGTGGAAGGCTGAGGGTCGTCTGGGTTTCCCTCACTATTACCGATATTATGGTCATTAGTTCCGGTCAAAACCTCACCAAAACTTTGAAACTCATCTTCACTGGCACTTCCATCTGTATTAGAACTGTCATGGGGGAACAAAAGTGTCCCAATTCGCCGAGGAGTGAGGAACTTCTTACTGCGAGGCATGGTGGACATTGTGTACTAAGATGACATTCCCACAATGCACCACTAGGTCCCAGATTTTTTTTCTACCGCGCACACCAACCACACAGACCCATTCTCTCACATCTAGGCCTACCAGCCTTTTCCCGCGAGATTTGACGGTGTTAGAATTTACGCATACTAGCACGTCAAAAACCCGTGCGTAAGCCATACTAGTACGTCCGAAACCCTCAAAGGGTTAATAGATTTGAGGGCACTAGAGTTTAGGCGTACTAGTACATCAATAACCCTGGTGCGTAAGCCATACTAGTACGTCAGAAACCCTGAAAGGGTTAATGCCACTAGGACCAGCTTGAGAGTCACTGGACCTCTGTTGCACAACAAATCTGTCCATAAAGCTCTGTACCTCCCGTTTCCTTAAGACTCTCCTAAAATGGGCCATAACATTGTCATTGTACAGGTTGCCAACACGGCTTGCAGTAGCTGTGTCAAGGTAATTTTCATCCATAAAGGTTTGCAGTTCAACCCACTTTGCACATGTTTCCTTAATCTCTTTTTTAAATTCCATACTAATTCTCACCCTTTTTACCATAGGGATGACACTAGAAGCTTTCTTGGTGTCCATGGTGACTTATTTTGCAGTTACAAGCACTAAAAACACTAGGATAATGTGAAATGTACCGAATATATGCGTAGATGCAACCACACTGGCTGGTTTGTAAACACTGGCGCTGAGGCCACACGTGGGATGCGTCCCAGGCGAATAACGTAAGGCGAGTTTTTTATCGTGAGGCGAGGCAAAATTTTTGTGTTCAAATGCTTCGTATGGCGGATTTAACGTAACACGGTGCGTTTGTAAGGCGCAGGACCACTGTATTGCAAAATTGCACTATATTTTTGTTAAGCACTCCACAAAATTTAATTAGCACAGTGCTCATGGGAAGTCTATCTGTGAGTCAGGCCACTGTCTTTGTGTGGGAGGCTTTCCTTCCTTCCTTCCCCAACCCACCTCTCATGTCTCAGCAGTTTGGATGTACATCTCCCACATGATTCTCAGATCTGTGTTTGCCTAAGTTTATTTAGGCACAGATACACATAAGTACAATTATCATACTTAGTGTAAATTACCTAATTTAATTGATTCCTGCATACCAGTCAATACATGCAGTGTTTTCATATTGGTAAGCCATTTTTTTTTACTTTTTTTGGGTCATCCAGGGTAATGTACACTATAAATGATAATCACATTTGGGCATACCTGTATCTAAATAAACTTACCGACTGTGCTCAAATGTGAGCTTCCTGGAGACAATGTTTATATACAAATTGAGAGGGACTCTCCCAGTATTTATATACCCTCTTATCTTCCTTTGCATAATAAAGTTTGAGAAATGAAAAGAACCTGGATGTAATGTGTATACAGTACCTACTTCATATACATGTGTGCATCAGTTTAATTGGTGCACTCGTATTTTGTAATGAACAAACAAACTAGAAAATGTGTGAGTGGTGGTGGTGGTGCAATAATCCCACCCACCCTTCCCTATAGACTGCAAATTTTACTGTTGGAAATGCAAGGGAAATGATAATTTTATTATATTCCTTTACTGTAATAAATTTATTAATGTGTACTAAATAACATATGTTTGCAAAAACATTCTGGTAGTTAATTTCAAAACAGTGAGATGGACACAACAGCACTGGGGTTGTCACAACTCTCAAAACAATAACAACACATGCTCAGAATGTTGAGAAGTTTTTCTTGTGATTTTATAATTTTTTCATGTTTTCTTGGATAATTTACATTTATATTATGGTAGGTATTACTCTGAACACATTTATTTACTAAAAAAATCTTGTCTAAGCTAGTAAAATATGGTATCTTTTACTGATAGCTATGGCAGATAATAGCTGTGTTACTGCTTGTCATGTTCTTTCATGCTAGTGAGAGGCTCTTAATCCGAAGAATTGAATTTGTTCTCCACTTCCTTGATCAAACCTGAATACCTTCCAGGCTCTATATGACCCCTATGGGTTTAGTGCTTCCCCATTAATATAATAACAATATTGCTTGTCATATGTTTGCACAGGTTTTGTACATGGTCACATTAACCCTCACCACACATTTCCAGATCAACAAGCAATGACAATTACAGTGAATATGTTCTTCCGGGGTTTAGGGCAGCTCTCGATGTTTTACCATCAGCTGTATTAAGTATTGCAGGGTAAAAGAGATCAAAGCCACATTGCAAAATTTCTCACTACTGTTGTACAACCATTGACTTTAGTGCCAAATCCTCAACCATCCACCTTGGCAAACAATCCACAACCTTCCACCTCAGCCCAGTAGGGTAACAGCATGCCTCTCCACTCTGTTCAGAATCATTGATATATACCAGCAACTACAATTTAAAATAAGAAATATTATTTCTGTGACATGTGTAGCCTTAAGCAAGGCATTAAACATAATGCATTACAACAATGAACAACCATTACATTATCATTTTTATTTTTTAAGATTTGGAGACCTTAAAAAAAGGTTTTCTGTCATTTTGGGGGGTCCTAGAAATGTAACCCTATTTTTCCCATAAATTCTTCAGTTTGTATTACATGATTTCTTCTTAAACTCTATTTTCAGGAACGTAACTACCATGTTAAGCAAGGGCCCAATACTGGATCTGGGTTTTGCAGTGTATTTGCTTTAAGTTATTTCTGTCTCTCTTGGATCCTGTATGATTCATATATCTTAAGCTAGTGGTTCTTTTCATATTTAAAACAGATTAGCCCTTTAGAGAAGCTCTGTGATTCTTCACCTTTGACTGTATGGGGAGCATCTCTCTTTTTAGCTTGTATCTTCTCTTCTTTTCCTTTGTGGAATGTGCCTTGAGCATACCTCAAGTGCCACAAATACAGTGTATACTGTTCTCACCTACATTGTGTATAACTATACTACACTCACCAACACTGTAGTATAAGTACAGTATAAACAGTTACCTACAATGCTGTGGAAGGGAGAGCAACAAGGGCACCAATTAAATATTTAAACCAGCAATTATAAAAGTGTATTTCATTACAAAAGCAGAATAAAAAATTTATAACTAATGCATTACCACTTACAACAGTCTTACCTCACAACTTCTAATGTTATCACTCCAATAAGTAGTCTTACCTTACAGTATCAAAGGGCTGGGCTAGAAGAATGTAACCAGAGAACAAGGTAGTTAACAGACTTATAACAATCTTACCTCACAGCTTCTATGTTATCAATGAACAAGGTTGTTAATACATTAATAAAAGTCTTACCTCATAGCATCAAATGGTAGGTCTAGAAGAATGTTATCCCTGAAGGAAGCATTGATGATCCAAGACTGCTGGCTAACATAAGCACAAGATCCTTGAAGGAAGACTTGACCAGAGCGGAGGTGCATGTGACCCAGCAGTGCACTGAGCAGTGAAGACTTGCCAGCACCAACACCACCACACACCGCAACCAACTCTCCCTGAACACAAGCAACAAAGCTAAGTCCCACCCCATCAACACTTATTCACCAACCAACCTCTTTAATGATACCAGATTATTTCTCAATTAAAACTAAAATACTTCCTCTGGAAAACTTTTATTTTCACCATCTGTGTCAGATTTATGAGGAATAATACTGTAACTGTATTTAGATAAAGGTAGAGAAGTTTTTATTGCATTTATGGATTTAGAAAGGGCAAATGATAAAGTGGATAGGGGAGCAATGTGGCAGATGTTGCAAGTATATGGAATAGGTGGTAAGTTACTAAATGCTGTAAAGAGTTTTCATGAGGATAGTGAGGCTCAGGTTAGGGTGTGTAGAAGAGAGGGAAACTACTTCCTGGTAAAAGTAGGTCTTAGACAGGGATGTGTAATATCACCACGGTTGTTTAACCCCTTGACCATCACAACACCAAATCCTGAGGTGTCGCCTGGTGTCGCAAAATTCCCTCCCCCCCAAAAAAGAAATTATGAAATGATACAGAATCTTCTCCCAATTGTAATGACACCAAAATAACGAAATTTGATGAAAAATTGACAGAATTACGCTCATGCGAAATTAGCGGCCTCGGCGATGTTTACAATTCGGCGATTTCACCCACTTTGAGCCCTATTTTCAGCTAATTCCGTTGTTCCAGTTAACCAAACTCATAGCTATTTCTTGAGAACTCCATTTTTTTCTATCAACTGAGTACAAGAAACTGCCCATTTACCGATTTCAACTACCCAATAACGTGGCCAGAAATTTGCAATTTGGCCAATTTCACGAAAATAAAAAAATATGACAATTTCAGAATAGGGTCCAGAATGAACAATGCAGACATTCCTGGCTCTAAAATAATTTTTTTTGTTCATCAGTCACGTCTCCAGGCCCCTCTGATATTACTCTTGCTTTCTCTTTTTAATTTTTATTCAAACAAAAAATATAAGATTTACTGTTATGCAGACTACTGCAATATTGTAATAATTGTATAAATAATGTCAACCCATTCATGACTGCATATCAGAATGGCTACTTGCACATTTATTGGAAAATGACATCATTTGTTTACTTTTGAACATCGGCAAAAATTAAACATTTCCCCTACTTTGAGCTCCATTTCAAGTTTTTTTTCATAGTAAAACCAATCAAAATGACCTCTATTTCTATAGTATGTTTTCCATTCTATAAAATGAGACTAAGAAAACGAGAATACAACCATAAATACTATACGAAAATAGACCACAAAGTCGGCATTTTAATTAAAAAAAAAACGGTGTTTTTTTTTTTCTCATTATGTACTGCGTGCTGCAGGATTTTTTTATATGGTGCACACTGACCACACAGACCCATTCTCTCACATGTGGGCCTACCAGCTTTCTCCTGCTTGATTTGAAGCCTCTAGAATTTGTGAGTATACATACGTCAAAAATGGTGGCTCGTAAGACGTATATATACGACCAAAACAGTCAAAGGGTTAATATATTTATAAATGGGGTTGTAAAAGAAGTAAATGCAAGGGTGTTCGGGAGAGGGGTGGAATTAAATTATGGGGAATCAAATACAAAATAGGAATTGACACAGTTACTTTCTGCTATTGTTACTGTGCTTATGGGAGATTCTAACGTAAAACTGCAAAGGTTAGGGGACGAGTTTGTGTGTGCGTGTAAAGGTAGAAAGTTGAAAGAGAACAAAGAAAAGAGTAAGGTGATGAGGGTATCAAATGATTTAGATGTCCTATCTAAGGGCAATGTGTGGTGTAAATATTATGCAGAAAATTCCGAGTGTGGAAATTAGGAGAAGGCGTGGTGTTAATAAAAGTATTAGTCAGAGGGCTGAAGAGGGTTTGTTGAGGTGGTTTGGTCATTTAGAGAGAATGGATCAAAGTAGAATGACATGGAGAACATATAAATCTGTAGGGGAAGGAAGGCGGGGTAAGGGTCATCTTCAAAAAAGGATGGAGGGAGGGGGTAAAGGAGGTTCTGCGGGCGAGGGGCTTGGACTTCCAGCAAGCGTGCGTGAGCATGTTAGATAGGAGTGAATGGAGATGAATAGTATTTGGGACCTGATGAGCTGTTGTAGTGTGAGCAGGGTAATATTTAGTGAAGGGATTCAGAGAAACCGTTTACGTATTTTTATATAGCCGGACTCGAGTCCTGGAAATGGGAAGTACAATGCCTGCACTTTAAAGGAGGGGTTTGGGATATTGGCAGTTTGAAGGAATGTGTTGTGTATCTTTATACATATATCCTTCTAAACTGTTGTATTCTGAGCACCTCTGCAAAAACAGTGATTGTGTGTGAGTGAGGTGAAAGTGTTGAATGATGAAAGTATTTTCTTTTTGGGGATTTTCTTTTTTTTTGGGTCACCCCGCCTCGATGGGAGACGGCCGACTTGTTAAAAAAAAAAAATACTGTAACTTATATCTTAAACCATTGGCTTATGAAAGTTACTGTCACAGGGTGTACGCCATGCCACCATGCTGGCGTATCACTCAAAAATAAACACAGAAACTTTGGGCTATTCTTATACATAGTACAGACTGAAATTGCCAATGATATTAATTGGCATGCATAAATAAACTGAATTTCTAATGTTCTATAAATTGAAAAATAAAAGATGAATTTTATCTAATGGATGAATTAAAAAATAAAAGCACCAGATAATTTTACTTAATTCATTTGTACAACATTTCTGTTCTTCTTCGAGATGTAACTGTCCTATGACTGTAACTGTATAGTATTTAAGATCAACACTAATAAATTCTGCCATACAAAATGCACAAGAATGCAAGAAAATCATGGAGTGAGTTAGCATATCAACACACAACTCTCCAGGATAAACTGTAACCCATCAACCATAAACAACAGCTGATATTGATACATCAACAGCCCCAGACATTGACCTGACTTGATCGTTGTTTCTGAGCATATATAATTAAAATAAATTTGAAAACAAATTACGATCAGATTATATAATGATACTGCAAGAACAGAATTATTATAAAGAAAATCAGTTTCAGTTCATGAATTTTCAACAAATTTATACATACTGTACAGGCAGCATACTGTCAAGTTAATAATAATTAGAACAATAACCTACAGAACAGGTTGGCCATCATTAATCTGGCAATCAGCAATCCAGTTCCATCAGTAATTCGACACTAATTTTGGCTAACTACTGCTGCTACTCCTTGGTGACTCTACTTGCTGCAAAAGTCATTCCAGTTTCCTTTTCTCCATTTATTGTTATAACCTGCTTACTTTTAGCCCTAGCCATGGGTCTAACGAATAAAAGAAATACTTTTCATTGTGTAAAGCATATACACAGTACATTGTCCATAAAAGATAAGGTGACTTTGAAGCCACTGTTGGTCACCAAGCACTCAGCTCACTCAAATAAGCTGTGACAAGTAAATTTGGGCCTACAAAGAAAAAATAGGTCTGTGCGGTAAGTGTGCACTATACAAAAAAATCCTGCAGCATGCAGTCCATAATGAGAAAAAACTGCAACTTTTTAAGTGTAAAGTGTCAAATTTGTGGTGTATTTTTGTATGGTTTTTATGGTTGTATTCTCATTTTTTTGGTCTCATTTGATAGAAAGGAAGATAAATTACAGAAATGGATATGATTTTGATTGGTTTCACGAAGGAAAGTACCTTGAAATTGAGCTCAAACTAGCTGAAATGTTTGATTTCATCTATGTTCAAGAGTAAACAAATGACATCACCGTCCAATAAGTGTCCAACTGGCCAGTTTAACCCTTTGAGGGTTTTGGTCGTACTAGTACGTTTTACGCGTAGGGGTTTTTGACGTACTAGTACTCATAAATTCTAGCGGCCTCAAATCTAGTGGGAGAAAGCTGGTAGGCCTTTATATGAAAGAATGGGTCTATGTGGTCAGTGTGCACAGTCTAAAAAAAATGCTGCAGCACACAGTGCATAATGAGAAAAAAAAAAACTTTGACCATTTTTTTTAATAAATCAGCGACTTTGCAGTGTATTTTCGTATGGTATTTATTGTTGTATTCTAGTTTTCTTGGTCTCATTTTATAGAATGGAAGACATATTACAGAAATTGAGATGATTTTGACTGGTTTTACAATGAAAGGTGCCTTGAAATTGAGCTCAAAGTAGCAGAAATGTTCGATTTTTACCAAACTTCAAAAGTAAACAAATCGTGCCAAGCATGCAATACACGTCAACTGGTGAGCCTAATATTCTTTTACAAGTGCACCAATAATATTTATACCATTTTTTACACTAATGCAGTAGTCTGCATAACAGTAAATCTTATATTTTTTGTGAGAATAAAAATTCAAAGTGGAAAGCAAAAGAATATAAGAGGGGCCTTGAGACGTGACTAATGACTAGAGGAAATGTCATTTTAGTGCCAGGAATGTCTTTCTTGTTTATTCTGGACCCTATTCGGAAATTGGCATCTTTTGAAATTTGTGTGAAATTGGCAAAATTGCTAAATTCTGACCACTGTACTGGATAGTTGAATTTATAAATGGGTGGTTTCTTGCACCCATTCGATAGAAAAAATGGAGTTCTAGCGAAATATTCATGTTTTTTGTCGACTAGTACAGTGAAATTGGCCGAAAATGGGGCTCAAAGTGGGCAAAATCGCCGATGCGTAAACATCGCCGAGACCGCTAACTTTGCGAGAGCATAATTCCGTAAGTTTTCTATCAAATTTCAAACTTTTGGTGTCTTTATGATCGGGAAAAGATTCTCTATCTTTTCATAAGAGAAAATAATTTTTTTTTTTTTTAATTTGGCCGACCCTGAGAACGAGTTTCGGAGAGGGCCTGTCGACCCTCAAAGGGTTAATACAGAGTCACAAATGAGTTGACATTATTTATACAATAATGCAGTAGCCTGCATAACAGTAAATCTTCTATTTTTTGTGTGAATAAAGATTAAAAAATGGAGAGCAACTGTAAGATAAGAGGGGCCTGGAGATGTGACTAATGAACAGAGAAAATCTTTTTTTAGT